TATAATCTTTTACTCATTATAAACTCTATAAGACATAAAATTAAATGAGGTTCCAACGTTTAAAAAAGATCTCCACTTCGTTGTCAAAACACACAGTTTCATACAGAAAAATTCATTTCAGGGCTCTTGACATTGAGATGTTTTCACATGCATTTCTAATCTCTATATACATGACTATCACTGGTCACAGTCACCCACCTTCTGAGCTCCTCGGCATCTGAGCATGAATACAAACCCGTCAGGTAGACAGCCTTCCTCTCCCACTAGAGCCTCCATACTCTGCTATCCCTGCCACTGTCCACTGTGCTGTCAGCACCCCCATCCGTTCCCCCCTATCTGCCCTTCTGGTAAATCTAGATCTTCTTAAATGTATCCATGCAGGTTGCTTTTCCACAATACGCAGTACAAAAATACACTTATGTTACAGAATATGACAGTGCCTTAGGCGTCCCCACGGCCCCTAACATTCCCCACTATAAGTAGTGACTCACATCTATAAGATGTCTACCATATGTAAGCGAGGCCTGCTGCCATGTGTCCACTGCTCGCACGGATCCTTACAAGGAGTGAATATTCTGTAAACTAGCACATACCTTGGGTTCTTCCTTGGCCTTGCAGTCTCTTCTGATCTTCCACAGTTCTGCTTGCACAACTCTGCTAAGACATCTGAATGGTATGGCTACCGGGGAGGGCAGGAGTGTTCACATAACAATGGGCCAGTCAGCAAAGACCAGAACAAGATTTTACCATAGCCCTTGCTTGCCTGTGCTGTTCCCTCTGAAGTGATCTGAGGCGAGCCACATCACCCTAATGCAATCCTACTGCTCCTTGTCTAAGGAAGACAGTGGTTTTTTACAAAAAATGTCTTATTTTTGAGTAATGTAAAAAATGCACGTTACCAAAAGAAAAAAAAAGTCACTTTGCAGAATGCCAATTTTATAATCGTCAGTGTTTTACAAGGTATATCATTAGCCGGTTTCTAAGCTACTCCCCCACTCACATGCCCGTGCTTAATGATCTCCAGCTGAGAATATTTGGACTGTCACCAGTTTTAAATTCTGTCAGTCTCCTCTTCTGCTTTTATGACCATCTTTGGCCTATGATGTGAAGTTAGAGATACTGGGTTTTAATATGTAAAGTATCAAGTATGTTATCTGTGGAATTTCCATGGAAAGTATGTTAAACTCAAGAAGCAAAGCTTCGGTAATTCACTTTAATAATACTTTACTTCACAAAGTCTTATGAGTATTTAATTATCTAAAATGGACAAGAATTTGGAAAAAATGTGTATTCTAAGTGGCCACAGACAATGATACACACAGGACCTGGTAAAGTTCTATTGGACATGTTCAAAAGTTTTAATGTGACTATTCATTCAAATATTTTCTTCATGTAATGTTTAGACATTGCAATATATTTCATTTTACACTAATAGACATTGTAGGAAGAAATCACATCTGAATGTATAAAGTACATGTACTCAATAGCATAAGTATTTTATAAGCTCTCTCTATACTGATAGATTACAGTGATATCCAAGTAGCAATGTGTGCAGTCAGTGTCCAGACCATTGTTTCTAAAGTTAATGCACACCTTCCACAAACAAAAAGCAAGAAGAAAAAATTATCCTTAAAGAAATAACTGCTTCTAGTTATAGGATACTGAAAACATAAGATGAAGCTACAATGTTATATATACAAGCAAATTGGAAGTGCTCAAGGATAAAAGAGCCAATAGAAACAGCTCCCAAAGGCCAGGTTCGTAACTAATGATGCAACATAAATAATTAAATACTTAATATTATAACACAACACAAAACAACTAATCAGGAGTATATATGCATACTTCCACCTACACAAAAACTGGGGGGGGGGACTGTCAATCTTTCTTACAAAGAATGTGAAATAGCAAGTGTAGATACTCCTCCTTCCCTCTGGGTGCTGGAATTTAAGAGTCATACACAGGGTATGGGATGGAGCGCACAGACAGCTTATGAAAATTGATTAAGTACTGATTCTGGGAAGAAAGGAAGTGGATTTTCACTTTTACGTTGACTTCATCACCCCAGTGTCCACTCCGCCTTCTTTTCTACATTTGTAAGAACTGAATAACCGGAGTATATCTTTACCTTGGAACTGTAATCTTTAAAGACAAACGGAATAACTGATACAAATCAATTTTTTCACTACCATCTGTGATACAATAATTCGTTTTTATGACTTAGAGAAATGTGTACTTTGATTCCTTTGTAAATATGCTTTTAAGAACACTTTAGTCTGGGTCCCCTGTAGCCCCAAATGACCTGGAACCCGCTACATGGACAAGGCTCATCTCAAACTAAGAGAGATCCTGCCTGCCTCTGCTTACTGAATGCTGGAATTGAAGAGGAACAGAGCTGATGGAATGAGCATATATATATACATATATATAATGTAAAAGAATTATTTATCATTTTACTGTAACTGCATTTGTCTTACATCTGAGAGGCTGAACACCTGGCAGTTGCTCAGTCCCTGAGGCTGATTGCCTCAGCAGTTGGGGTAGTGCCAAAGTGGCTTTCTCCCTCAGGAGAGGCTGAGAAACCAGTCGTCGCTTAATCCACATGCTGGGTGGCCTCAAAAGTCCCAATCTGCTGCTGAAAATCTGGACAGTTCCTAAGACTCTCTGGACCTTATCCAATGATGGAAGCCAGTAAACACTACAGTTTCACAAGCAAAAAATGAGGTTAGGGTTGAAGTGGGGCCACAACACGGTTGCTTTGTGTAGCTCAAGTCTCTGACAAAGAGGTAAGCCAGGGGTGTGGTGTGGGACACAAGCAGTCCTGACAAAATCCCTCCATCACGTCTTCCATCCTTTATACCCACTGGATGGCCTGTAGTGCTGAGGCCTTAGGTAAGCAGAAAGAGTGCTGGGGTCCATTTTTAAAAAGCATATTGAGCTATCTTTCTAAGACTTTGGGTGGCTAATGAAAGGCTTGTGAATAAGCTCTTGTATATTTGTCATTTTCCTAATAAAGCACAGGGGAGTTTACAGTTCTGACGTCTTTGACATTTTCCCTGGAACATATCAAACCTTAGAAATGGTTCCCCAAACACCTGGAATCTGGTTACTCCACTGCCATGTGACTGACCATGTTCATGCTGGAATGGAAACTACCTACACCGTTCTACCAAACCAAGGTGAATATCCAGGTAGTAAATCTAGATATGAATTATGAGTGTAATTAAGCTTCCTGTTTTGTCTAAATACGTCTCCAATATGAAGCAGTCGTGATTTTGCTGCCCTCTTTCTTTCTTCTCCACCTCTCAGGAGGAAGTTTTTACTGCTAGATCAGTTAGGACACAGTTTGTTTCACTGTCAGCTTGTACATCACCAGGTCTCCAAGAAGCGTAAATGAACAGAACTTGAAGAGTGTAATACTATCTAGAGTTATATAAGGGGATAGTTGTATCAGTTATTCTACAACAAACAAATCATGACAAATGACACATTTCCAATTTAATTTCCTTCTCAACAGGAAACATTAACTTTGTTCTCTGCAGCAGTTCCAATGGGAGAGAAATACAAAACAATCCCAAATCACCAGTGTAATTCCCGGCAGTCAGCCAGGCAAAGTAGCATCTTTCTGTGCTGCCAGAGAGGGAGACATCACTAACTAGTGTTTGTGAAGGATCTGGATCTGAGAAAACCTAAAATTTAAATTCCTTACTCCCCAACTCTTTGCCTGTGTGAAAGTATGCACATACACACACACACATACACAGATGTGTGCACACACAATCCTTTTGTAGATACACACCAGCAAAACGTACAAAGAGTGAAATTCCGACATTGTGGTTTATAGGTTTTAATAGGTCTTTTGAGTTCAAAATTGTTGGAAGTGGAAATGTCAGTTCTAACAGGAAGAAACTACATAAAGAGCACTTCTCTCTGCTTCTTCCTTAAAATGATAAAAGGGACACCAAAGCACTTGGGGACTGGGGTATGCAAATGCCTGGCATGCAGAGGACACTGTCACAGGCGAGGCCTACACCCAGAAATACTGAAGAGACTTCCATGTGTGACAGGCCTGGAGGAACAGAGAGAGATTATCCTCAGTTAAAAGTGGAGGCTGCTTTTAAAGATGTGAAAGGGATTACAGGACAAACAACAAATGTGAAGGAAGGACACATCAGGAAAAATGAGGAAGTGTGTGTGTGTGTGTGTGTGTGTGTGTGAGACAAATACTTTACTACTGAGCTGCATTCCCAGTCCAAGCCAATATATCACAAATTTGAAAGCCACTCAAGACTATGCCTAATTGTAAGTGAACTTTAAATCATTGCTTTTACGCTAACACCTTCTTTGATGAAAAACTACTTCCACTAAAGTGCTGTCTATTATAAAGAGTGGTTACTAATAATAAAAGAATGCCAAAGACTCAAAAAGGCGAATAAACCATTTGCTTTAATGACAGCAACTTGACCAAGGTGAAAAGAGTCAGTGAGGCTCAGAAAGAAAACTGAAAATAGTGTTTAAAGAAATTAGTTTGCATATAAACCGCACAAAAGAATGATTCTGCTTAGAAAAGTAACCCAGAGGAAGGAAACACAAAGGCACTTGGGGACTGGGGCGTGTGAATGCCTGGCATGCAGGGCTTGCTACCACAGGCTGGCCCTGCACACAGAAACACTGAAGAGACCTCCATGTCGGACAGGCCTGGAGGAACAGGAGGGATGACTACTCAGGTGAAAGGGGAGGATGCATTTAAAGTCAGAGAGGAAATTACAGAACAAGCACAAATGTGAAGGAAGAATATTAGAAAAATGCAAGAGAAATTTGACTTTGACAAAAAGAAATTAGAGAGCTGAAGGAAGCATTATCAAAGGAAAGAGTCTAAACTACACACAGAAACTAGGGAGCCGCGTGCTGCAGTCTGAATTATCTGTAAGCAAGTCGTCTAAAGCTTTGGGGGAAATCTACATCAACTCTGAAACTCAAAACAATTGCTGCCTGTGAGAACAAAGTGAAATCTTTTGATATTCTGCATCAAGAGACAACTGTGTCTGCAAAGAAAAAAATAAATAATTTTAAGATGGGGGCTATCCTGCCATTGTTAATGCAATACCAGGCTATCAGTGCCAGAGGGAAGGCACGAAGACATCCTCTGATATATAAAAGTTCTTTTAAAAATTATGACTATTGTTTCAGATAACCTCCTAGAGGTAGACTGTAGGGAAAGCTGGCTTCGTTTTAAATTCCTCGCTCTTGCAATTCTAGCTAGTACTCTAATCAATCTCTACTAAACATCTAAAAACATTAATTCCATGAAGTAGAATTTTTAAAACTTTCTTTGGATAAAATTTCAGTCACAGAAAGGTTGCAAACATCAAACAGAGAATTTCAATAACTCCATCCACATTTACAAAGTTACAGTTGCTCTCATGCTCTCTCTTGCTCTCCCCTGGTATACACACACAGACACAGACACAGACACAGACACACACACACACACACACACACACACACACACACAGACACACACAGACACACACGTCTCCTAAAATATAATTAAAATACCATCATCCAGGTTGAGAATGTTTAAAAAATGATAAAGAATGACAGCTTTTTCAGATTTCAACAATAATCCAAAGCATATTCTTTACACAAAAGAAAATCCCAGATCATGCAAGGAGCCTAGGGAACTGTTTCTCAGTATTGTCGTTCACAATGTTAACATTTTTGAATCTAGAGCAGTCACTGTGTAAAACATCCTTCCATTTGAGCTTGTTTAATGAACATTAAGGCTCAAGGCTTAATGTTAATTCCTCAAGGCTCAGGTTATACACAGACAGTCACAGAAAGGACACTGGACCTTCCTCATTTCCCTTGGTCAGAAGCACCAGATACCAACATGCCCCATTATTGCTTAACTCTGAGCTTTTGGTAAAGGTGGTATCTGCCAGGTTGTCCACAGTAAATTTGCTATTTTTCTCCTTTATGATTAGTAGGGATCTTTTGCAGAGAGGAAAATAAATTTTCCTTTAATTAAAGCAAAACTAGAATGAGATTTTAAACTTATGAAAAAACAAGTAAGTGAATTAAGAATGATTAATCAAAGTAACTAATATTTAAAAAACTGGAATCCATGCAAAGTACCAATCTAGAATTTTTAAACATATAAATACACTATTTTAAGTAATCATCTTAAAATTTCTTTTTCTATAGAGACCAAGTCTGGCTGAAAGAAATAAATTGCTGATATGTGGAAAAAAAAGAGATAAAGCAATGATTTATAACAATGTATGTGGCACTGCTGAATAGACCATTTACTCTGGAATGACTATAAACATTTAAAAAGACCGAAACCATACAACTTTGTGCATTTGTGAGGGAAATGGTGACATATTGCAGATGGACAGATCAACAGACTACATTATGATACACATTTGTACATTAGGTAATAGAATTGATTCATAGTCTATCTGTACCATCATTGTTAGGGCTTTACCAAATTGAACCAAAGAACCCCCTGAAAATACGACCTGATGCTGTCCTGAGTGGTCTTCACAGGATCTCTATTTTAAAAAAAAATGACCCCATGCTGTCCTGGGTGGTCTTCACAGGATCTCTATTAAAAAAAAATGACCCCATGCCGTCCTGGGTGGTCTTCACAGGATCTCTATTAAAAAAAATGACCCCACGCCGTCCTGGTTGGTCTTCACAGGATC